GCCTCCGCTGTGGGACAAAAAGGAATGGCAGGATGGGGTGCGCTTGGAGGAGAAGACTTGGTGTAGGGATGGGGTGTGCTTAGGGAAGAGGAGATGGAGGCATGGGATGGGCTTGTGGTGGGCCAGGAGGGGTGGAGGGATGAGGTTTGCATCTTCTGGGCAAGAAGAGGCAGAGGGGTGGAGTGTGCTTGTGCTGGGCAAGGAGAGATGGGAGGGTGGGCTGTGCTTGTGGTGGTGGTTCAGGAGAGATGGACAGGGCTGTGCTTGCGCTGAGGAAGAGGTAGAGGGATGGAGTGTGCTTGGACAAGCAGAAGCAAGGGATGGGTTGTGCTTGTGGTGGGCAACAGGATATGGATGGATGGGTCTGCTTGCTCTTAGTCAAGAGATGCTCCTGACACAGCACTGTGATGGTGACCTTGGCCGCAAACAAGTCATAGAGAAATGAGCTGGTCCATATCATGTGCCCTATTTGCAACTTAGGGCCTCCCTCCTGCTGCTGGATCCTCCCTGTGGCAGCGCAGTGCCCACATAACGTGTTGCTGGCTGACATGCGCTGGGGCACACTTACCTGTGCTTGCTGTAATTTTAGATGATGCTTTTTACAAGAACCAAGAGCTGGAATTTTAAAGTCACCCTCGTGACTTTGTGATTGTTGCACAGTGTTGGGAGAGCTGCCGGTGATATATGGGTCACTTATCTGCCTCCTGTCTCTTGGAAAGCTGATATTTGGTGTGGTGGCACATAGGATGGACTTTTGTTTTTAGGGGGAAATGAAAACAGTTTGACATAAAGAGAGAACAGATGGACCACACATAACAAAGAATTGATTTGTGGCTGAAAGCCAGTAAATGTCCACCTATCCCATCAAAACACAAGAACTTTCAAGGAAAAGACGCTGCAGTATAATACAGACCCACAAGGGGCTGTCAAGAAGCTCCTTTCCATGGGATCGGAGCCTCTGAAGTCAAGTGTCTAGAAACGCTGATGACTTTGAAGTCTATTAGAAGAGGAAACTCGCCAGCTCAGCTTGGAAACCCTTTCCCCTGCATATGTGCTGGAAGCAATGGCACACCTGAAACAGGGCTGGGATTTCTCTCCCTGCGTAGGAAACCTCAGCCCCTGACAGAAGGCAGCGGGCACAGTGGTGCCGTGGGGCTGGCATGTGGGAAAGGCAGCAGTGCTGGCTCACGGATAGGGCATTTCTCAGGGTGAGATGTCCGAACGAAGGCTATAGCTGGATGAGACTTTTGCACAGCCGTTCCCAAGACGGCAGCTAGGCTGCAGTGGGTGCTGGCTCTGGTAGCATCCCTCAGTGTGCTCTGCTGGGTTGTGACCTAGTGCCTGGTGTCAGAGCACTTTAAGTTGACCACAGAGGAGTTTTTTGAGAAGGTATTGCCTTCACCCCTCATCCTTTGGTATAAAACCTATATGGCATATAGGCTTATTTGCTTGACTTGATGTGTTCAGGGTCATTATTCAGCTGTGTGAATGCCCTTGTTTGTAACCCAGCCCTGTTCAGGGAGAGCTGCCCTTTGACTGTATCATTCCTGTTACATTAAGAAACTGTTTCTTCAAAATAAGTCTGTTGGGTTTTAGATGGAGGGAAGGCAGGTTTTAAAGGAGCAGCAGCTGCCCGAGCATTCACACACCATTCAGGGAGTCACACACACACCACCCGAGACTTTAACCGCTAGGACCGGAGTCCCTTCACAGCGGGCAGCTCCACTGAGCTGACAGGTGCTCCTTTCTGACTCCTCACTCATGCACACACTCACCCTTGGTTGCTTTCTCTCCCCTCAGGCTCGACCCTAGGTTTCCCGGAAGCAGAGTCTCCAACACAACGTACGCCAGGCGAATTTATTGAGTGGTACAGCAGTGAAGAGCAGCTCGAGCTGGGTGCCTCTGGGGAGGGACCCCAAACAAAGAAATCCCTGGGCAATTATACCCTTACAGTCTAAGTTCCCCTCCCCTCATGTGACAGTTCAGTCCAATAATAATATTTGGGTCTGGGGTCTTCTTATTCCTTATTGGATCCTTTCCCTGTCTCCAGGCAGGACATTCCTTTTCTTATCTTGAATAGTTGCAGCTTCTGCCGATGGTTGTCGCTACCTTATCTTTCTGATTTGCACCGGTTTCAGGGCCTTCCTTTATGTAGCTAGGTAGGAGTTCAGCATACAGTCAGCATATCTAGGTGAAAGTTCACAGCTTGCAGTCTAAGGCTTCAGCAGGCCTTTGGATTCTTATTTGAGCTAGAAAGTGACTTCTACAACAACAGGTAAACAGCTCAGGAGCATGTCAGGCTGCATGATGTGTTGTCCCTCACGGTGGAGGTGGTGTGGTCTGAAGCACATGATGCTCAGGGCTGCATCTCATGGCTGTAACATGGGCTGAGTGAAGCCTGATGGCTGCTCTGCAAATCACGGCAGCCCCTCCAGGACACCGGCACAGGGGGCCAGGGTGCTTACCGAGACCCCCACGTGCCCCCAGTGCTCTCAATGCTCAGCAGTCCCAAATGCAGGGAAAGCGCTCACAAACTCAGGCTGCAGGGAAGAGGGACACACTGGTCCCTTGCACTGTTGGGCACACGTGTGTTAGGTTGTGCATTTATTTTGCTTGTTTAGGCAGAGCCAAGGACAACCTAGGGCTTGTTCTTTGTGAATTCGGAGACAGATCTAATACTTGGGTAAATTATTTAAATAACTGTTCCTCCAGTGAGGCCAAAACCAAATGAACCTCGATCCTGTCCTGTTTAGCAATACTTCCTCACCCAAAAGGGGAATGATCTTTAAGGGCAACTTCTCCCTATATCTCTGTGGCAACACCGAGAGATGGGCCCTTCTTTTGGGCCTATGTGGGTGAGGAGATGCTTTTCCTGCCAGGGCACCTGGACACAAACCAGTGGGCTAGTAGAATCGCAGGCATAAATTTATTTCTCTATTTTATTTTAAAATAATGGTAGGGTAATAAGAACAGTGGGGGACTTTAGTGTACAAAATGGGATAATAGACCTGCCTGTGAACTAGAGTATCTGAAGTGCTCACCTCTGGCTGAGTGCCACCCCATTGCTGCGGTCAGAGCTGTGTATGTGAGTGCAGTGGTGTAAGGCAGGAAGCCCCACTGTTTAGAGGGGCTCCCATAGGGAGAGGTCAGCCTGATTGCGCTTTACTGATGTGTGACAAATCACAGTCCGTTACAGCAGGGGCAGCACACAGCAGGGCTGCTGCCAATTATAGGATTGCACAACAAGGGCAGAGCAAAAAAAAGTGTCCATTGTAGTTTCAAGCCAAATTATAGGATTGCAAAAAAGGGGAAGAAAAAAAAAAAGTGTCCATTGTAGTTTAAAGCCACTAGCGAGCTCTGATGGTTTTTTGTTTCAGTTCCCTTAAACAAAGCAGTGTAGCTGTGGGAAGCACAGACATCTGGAAAGCTGCTCTACCAGCGCAGCCA